CCAAGACTGTCCAAGACGGGCCAAGAGACCCTCTGAGACGGTCCAAGACGCTCGAAGACGCCCAGATTAGCTTCCAAAGTTTGGATGCTATCTTGGGCGTCTTCAAGCGTCCACAACGCTCCAAGTGTGGAGGCCTCTTGGACCGTTTGAAACGGTCCAAGAGGCCCCCACCACGCTCCAAGTGGTATCCAACACGAGCCCCAAGAGGACCCGAACAAGGACAAATCGTCCCAATCCTTAGGGGGAACGTGTATTTCGGCAATTCCCCTGCGTTTCGTCTTCCAAGCGTCCAAGGTGGCTATTCAGGACCCCAAGATCGCCTCAAGACGCTCCTGGAGGCCCCCATGAGGGCCCCAAGGCAGCCCAAGACGACCCCAGGATGGCTCCTGAGGCGCCCATGACGGCCCAAGAGGCACCCAAGGCAGCCCCAAGAGAATCACAGACGGCCCGAGACGGTCCAAAGACGTTCCCGAGACTGCCCCAGAGGTGCCCACGACAGCCCCAGACGGCCCCAAAACAGCCCCAGGGCCACCCAGGACAGCCCCAGAGGGCCCCAAGAGGCCTCACAGTGCCGGAAAACTGCCCAAGAGGGCTCGAAGAGGCCCCCCCAAGAAGGGCCCCGAAAGGCCAGCATCATTGATTTCTTTTGGATGTTTTGAACTATTTCAGCGTTCTCGCCTTCTCGGCGGCTCGACTCTCCGATCCGGCAGCCCCAAGGCACCCAGGATCGCGCCAAGATGACCTAAGAGGCCCCCCAGAGAGCTCCCAGACAGAGATAGAGGGCCGAAGACGGCCCAAGAGGCCCCCAAGACGGCCCAAGACGACCCCAAGAGGGCCGGCCCTACGAGGGGGAATTCGAATTGACATGTCCAGGATCATCCCAGAAACCGCCAGCTGGCCCCCAAGAGGCCCCCCAGACGCCCAAGAAGGCCCCACAGTGCCGGTGGACGGCCTAATAGGGATTCAAGAGAGGCTGCAACACGGGGCCCGAGAGGTCTCAATCATTGATTCCTCTTTTGTTTTTGACGGGTTTCAGCGATCTCGCCTTTTGGGAGTCTCCTCGCTTCAAGCTAGCCCCAAGAGGACCCCCAAGCCGGCCCCACGAGGGGCCCACGAGGGGGAACTCGAATTGACATTTCGCGCCTTCCGCTCCAGGATGATCCCGGGATGGCCCCTAAGAGGACCCCCAGACGCTCCCGAGGCCCCCCAAGAGGCCCAAATCGGGTTTCAAAAGGCCCTCGAGAGGCCCCAAGGCACTCCCAAAACCGCCTCCAAGAGACTCCCGAGGGAAGGTCCCTGAGAGAAATCTGGGACCGCGCCAGCCACCCAGGACGAGAAGGCGCCCATACGCTTCTGAGTTTCTCCCATCCTTTGCCAGGAATCTGGTCTGAATGGGCGACTCGTCGGGGGATTATCACGGAGTGCTCCGGACAGGTTGGCCAAACATGCTTCGCAGTGCCTTCCATCTTCTCCCGAATCCACGCACCCCGCGCGCATCCTCCGACCTCCGCCAGCAGCCACAGCCACCATGGAACATGGTCGGAAAATAAGGCCTTGTTGCTTCTTCATTTCCAGCCTTGGCCCTGATACGGCCTCAAGGTGGCTCAAGATCATCTTGAAGTGGCCCCTCTCCCACTACACTAACGGCAGCAGCGCGAAACGCGAAGCAGGCAAGCGGCAGCGGCACAGCACAGCAACAGCAAGCAGCAGCAGCAGCAGCAGCAGCAGCAGCAGCAGCAGCAGCAGCAGCAGCAGCAGCAGCAGGTAGCGGTCAGCAGCACGCAGCAAGCAGACGTGGCCGTCAGCAGCACCCTGCAGCCACAAGCCAAACGAGACACACAGCAGCGACAAGCATTCCGAACAGCAGGCAACATCGGCAGCAAGCAGCAGCACGCAGTAGCATGCGCCGAGTGCGAGGGTCGAGCCCCGCGTGAGAATTGCAGCCTTTCGACAGCATGTCCACAATCCGTTCCAGTTGGTGCAGACTTCGTGGACGGAGTCCACGGGTCAGCCGTAGTCTCTTCTACAATGCAGCACCTCCTGCGTGCCAGAAGATCCTGTCCCAAGGTCGCGCCAAGATGGCCCAAGAGAGCGCCCAGACAGCCCAAGACGGCCGCAAGACAGCCGAGGAGGCCCCCACCAGCCCAATGACACTTCCAAGAAGAACCCAAGAGAGCGCCCCAAGGAGGGGAGCTGCTGGAACTGACATCTCGCACTCTCCGCCCCAAGAAGATGATCCCCGAGACCGCCAGCCGGCCCCCAAGAGGACCCCCGGAAGTCCCAGGAGGCCCCATAAGCCTGAATTTGGCCCTGAGAGGCCCCCTGGGGCCTGAAGACCCCGCCTACACCGCCTCCAAGAGGCTTCCGCGGGAAGGTCCCTTCGAGAGCTGTGGGGCTGCGCCGGACACCCAAGGAAGCCCCATAAGCGACCCAATAGCCAGGGGCAACGATGGGGGGGGATCGGCATAGGGGGGATGAATCGATCCCCAATTGCCAATGGATCGCCGATGGGGGCCCGATAGCTCCAACCTGCCCAGGAAGGTGCGGATTCACTATCGGAGGCCTATCGCCGACCTATCGGCGATGTATCGCCGATCCCAGGTCGATGCATCCCCCCCTGTGCCAATCCCCCCCCCGATCGTTACCCCTCACCGTAAGCGACCCAGTAGAAGCCCAGATATGTTCGGCCGCACGCGCGCCGAGGCCATAAGGGACAGTCGTGTGCTGTCCTCCTGCGCCTGCCGCCCCTCTCCTCCCTCGCGCCTCGCCGCCCTCGCCTCGCTCCCCTGCCTCTCTCTCTCTCTCTCTCTCTCCTCGCTCACTGCTCCTCTCGTCTCGCTTCGCCTCGCTCCTCCCACCCTCCCACCTCCCTCCTGGCCCCACGCCTCTCTCTCTCTCTCTCTTTTCTCTGTCTCTCTATTTCTGTCTCTCTCTCTCTCTCTTTCTATTTCTCTTTCTCTCTCTCTCTCTATTTTTCTCTCTCTCTCTCTCTCTTTTTTTTGTTTTCTCTCTCTCTCTCTCTCTCCGCGGCGCCAGCACCGAACGTAACTGAAAACACGCCCCCTCATCACCCGCCCACATGACTCGCCGAACAGATCCCTCCATGTCCGTTGTCCGATTCTGCTCCCCAGAAGCCTTCGGACGCCTTATGCGAGGAGCCACCCCTGGACACAACGAGTACACAGCGAACGCAGGTCTAAGCTCGGCTTACGCCGCAGCTCCTCTTCCTGTGCCCTTCAGGACCAAGCAACCCCACAGCAACGCCCGAAACACCAAGCCCGACGCACGGGATCGCAAGCTGCATGCCACATCGCACCGCAAGCAACCGCGCCGACATCTCCACAATATTCCACGGAGACCCGAGCACGCATCCACGCACCCGCAGTGAACACACAATAAGCATGCTCGGCATGTTCGGCAAGCTCACCCTCAAATTTCCCGCACTCCGCACCCAACGCAGTCCGCCGACCACCCGCCGAAGCGGTCGCCTAAATGTTATGGCCTCTTTTTTACCCCGCTCGCGCTCTACCCCTTCCAAGGCGGTGCCCGACATCCCACGTGATATTGCTTGCCACCGAGCAGAAGAGCAAGCGACAACGCAACCAAGCCAACAAGCAGGCAAGCTGGCAGGAATGGACGTTGGCCAGCATGCAACTCTAAACACTTGTTATAGAGTTGACCTTGTGCATGATCAGCGCATGTGGCTGCACAGCGTTGTACAGTACTATCAGCGTCCACGCGCCTCTGGCGTATGACTTGTGTGTATATACTTGCTTGGGCAGCACGATAGCAGCCATGCGCGCAGGGCAGCGCGCAAGCATGACAGCAGGCAAGCGACTTCAACCCTGCGTGCGAATCAGCTGTCGTGGACGTAAGTCCACGGGTCCGCCGCAGTCAGCTGATTACATTGTTGCGACTTGCGCGTGTGAGAGATGCGGCCAGTGGCGGCATGCGTTGTCGCTGCTCAGCGAGATGCGGGAGTGCAGTGTGGAGACGAACGACATCTGTTACAATGTGTGCACCACAGCGTATGAGAGATCGTCTCGCAACTCGGCAGGGTGTCCAGGCTATCTTGGGATTGGTCTTTCGCGTTTTCGCGTGTCTTGCGAAGCACTGTGCGTGTGAGAACTTACTGGGCAACCACTGTGATTACGTGGACGGACAACCGTTTTGTGAATTCGACAGCAGCTGCTATTGCGCAGGAAGCTGCTTCCGATAACATTGGACGGATGGGGTCACGCCACTGCTCAGCGAGATGTTGATTGCGAAATGCAGCTCAATCTCGACAGCTGCACAGCGAGTTGCGGGATGCGATGTCGGAGCTCTAGGTCATCTGTACCAATTCTAAGCGAATCGCGTGCCAGATATGGACGCAGTATACTAGTTCCCGAGCCCCCGACACCGGGCCAGGATGCTCCGAGGACGCCCTAAGCGGCTCGCAAGATCCAGTGCCCCGCACGAGGGCCCAGTTGAGTTTTTACATTCCGAAGCTCCAAAGAGGGTACACGACGCCCGAACGGTTCCACGATTGCCCCAAAATGCCTGCGAGTGCTCCAGAAGCCGCTTCTCAAGCATCCCTGCGCGCTTTATTCTCTTTGCTTCTCTCTCCTCGCCTTCCTCTTTGCTCCTCGCTGAGCCCTCGTGTCTCCCACCTCCATCCTCGAACCTGACTGCTCGCTCCTTGCTCTTCGCTCCTCCCTCCTCGATCCCCTCGCGAGCGGCAGGTTGCGTCAGCCAATTGGCAGGAGTATAGAGAAGCAGCACCCTGCAGGCCAAGAAGCAGAAGTAGCGAACAGCGCGAACAGCAGCAGTACGCAGCCCGCCACAGAAGCAGCAAACAGCAACAGCATGGAGCGGACAGGCGCTCCTACAGTCGCAGGCAGCAACAGCAGAGCCGAAGCTCGGGCCCAGCGTCATCATGAAAGCCCTCCCGCAACAGCCCCGCCCCGAGCCAACATGCCATCTCGGACAAACTTCGAGGCCAGCATACCACGAGTCAGCACTGGTCTCTCCTACAACGCTGGAATCAGCGCGTGCGAGAAGGGCGAGCAGTGGCAGCCGGCGCTGGCGCTGCTCAGCGAGATGCGTGGGGCGAAGCTGGAGCCCAACGTCATCTCTCCTACATGGCCAGTGGAGGCGCTTGCGGGAAGAGAAACGGATCAAGTGTCCAACATCGGCCTCGGCGGGCCCCTGGCGCGGCATCGGCGAAGACGCCCCAAGCTGGCCCCAAGACGGCCCCAGCGACGCCCAGACGGCCCCAGAGAATCCCAAGAGAGCCTGAAGAGCGGCCCAAGGGGCCCAAGACGGCCCCAAGACTGACCGAGCGGCGCCCGAGACAGCCCAAGAGATTTCCAAGAGGCAAACAGAAGCCCCTAAAGGCCCTGGAAGGTGGAGCCTGACGTCATCTGTACTACAATTCTGGTCTTTGCACAAATATGCTAGAATGTAGCGAGCTGCCCCCGAGCGACCGAGGGGCTGCGCCGCTCTTGACGGCTCCAGAGAGCCCCCAGGGGGCTCCAAGACGGCCCCAGGCAGCTCCACTACCGCTCCGAGACGCTCGGGATGGCGGGAGGACGTCCCAAGAGAACCCGCACAAAGCCCCATGACAGCCCAAGACAGCCCGACTAAGGGCCGAATGCTTCCGAAGACGGCCCCACCGGTTCCTGATGACGGTGCCCCGAGACCAAGAAGTATAGATGTTCGCCAGGTTGTCGAAGGTTTTCCATATCCTCGCCATTTCGGACCAAGAAAGGCTCCAGACGGCTCCAGGACCATCCCAGATCTCACCAAGACGGTCCAGGAGGCCCCGCCAAGAACCCCAAGACGGCTCCAGAGGGCCCGAAGATGTCCCAAAAGAAGCCCCAGACTGCCCCATAGAGCTCTGGGTGGCCCGCAAATAACAACTCCGAGAGGGCCCCTGGAGCTGCCTGGCAGGCCCCAACGCGGATTCCAAGACGGCCCGAGACCGCCATCGTGTGTGTGTGTGTGTGGTGTGTGTGTGTGTGTGTGTGTGTGTGTGTGTGTGTGTGTGTGTGTGTGTGTGTGTGTGTGTGTGTGTGTGTGTGTGCGTGTGTGTGTGTGTGTGTGTGTGTGTGTGTGTGTGTTGTGTGTGTGTGTGTGTCTGTGTCTGTGTCTGTGTCTGTGTCTGTGTCTGTGTCTGTGTGTGTCTGTGTGTGTCTGTCTGTGTGTGTGTGTGTCTGTGTGTGTGTGTGTGTCTGTGTGTGTGTCCTGTGTGTGTGTGTCTGTGTGTGTGTCTGTGTGCAAGTGTGTGTGAGTGTGTGTGTGTGTGTGGGTGGGTGGGTGGGTGGGTGGGTGGGTGGGTGGGTGGGTGGGTGGGGGGGGGGTCGCCCCAGGACAGCCCGACGGCCCCCCCCCGAGGCTCAGCAGGTCCCCCGAATGGCCCACGAATGCCCCCGCAGCTGCCGAAGAGGGCTCGAGCGGGGCCCCCCAACGGCGCGAGCCCTCCAGCATGGTTCCGTTTCCCACCGCTTCTCCTCCCGCGGTTGCCGTGCATTCTTTTCCATCTTCTCGCTTCTGGTCCAGGCTGTGCCCAGAGCGTATAGTGAAGTCGGTCCTGTCCCTCTACAGGAGGAATATTCAAAAATAGTCCAAATATAGTCTGGGATTTATGTTTTGACAATGTTTGGACAGTTTGGGGGTATTGTTCAAGTATTTTAAATTTGTCGCCCAAAGTCCCCCTGTAGGGGGACAGGCCCGACCTAAGCGTATGGCCTTGCTGACCAGTCTCCTTCAGGGCGCCTCTTCCACCGCCAGCTCGGTCGCCGCGGGCGTGATCGGCGGGGGCTGTCACCGCGACTTCCCGAACCACTCCGATGCTCCAGAGTCTCCCGAGAGACTCCGACACCTGCCAAGGAGCTTCAAGCAGAGCGCCGTCAGCCACGACATCCTTTCGTGGTCTCTGGAACTCCAGAGGTGCCAAAGCACGCCGCGGACCCCGAACGAAGCCCCAAACCACCCCGAGGCGCCTCAGACCACTCCAAGATGCTCCGATAATTCCGTCGGAACTCCCCAGAGAGTTTCCCACCCTTGTGCCTCTCAGGTACCCTTCATAAAAAGCCTCCTGCCAATAAAAAAAGCCCAACGGGCCTCCCCCTCCAGCTCTCTTTTCTCACTCATCCTCCTCCTCTTCTTCCTCCTCATCCTTCTCATTGGCTTCCCTTGGTCCATGCGCCAGCCTCTCTGGGGTTCCCACAGCCGACTCGGGGCGGCAAAGGGGACACATAGACACCTCTGAGCCCCTGCAGCAGCACCCGCACCTTTTTCTGTTTCTGGAAGCCCCCAAAGGAATCCAAAGACCGCCCTCGCTCCACAGCTACTCTCTTCCTCTTCGGCCTCCTGCTCGCTCCTGCTCCTGACTCCCTCCTCCTCTGCCCCCCGCACCCCAGCACGTCTCGGGCCTCCTCTCAGCAATTCGGGGTGGCAAGGGGGACCTTCTTCTCTCTTTTCTACCCCGGCTTCCTCGTCTGCCAGCCTGCACCTCCCTCTCTCTGGACTGCTCTCTTCCTCCTGCACCCCCCTTCCGATTAGGGGTGAGAAGGGGGACCTTCTGCTATCTCCTTTACCTCGGCTTCCTCCTCTGGGAGCCTGCACCCCTCCCATCTCCAGTGCTGCTCTCCTCCTCCTCCTCCTCCCTTTCCTCCTCCTCCTCCTCCTCCTCCTCCTCCTCCTCCTCCTCTTCCCAGTCCCCTGCCTCTTCCTGCAAGAGGCTGCAGCGAGACTGGACTGCCGGAAGCCTTCGATGCCACAATAATCCCTCAGGGACCACTCCGAGACAGCCCAGACTCTCCCAAGACGCTCGAAGACAACCACCAGCCCCAGAGCCCCAGGCGTCGGCGACACATGCGCGTTTAGGACCGACACCATGACCTGCCAGCCGTGCATTTTCCACGGGTTCATACTCGTACTCGTCAGCTACAGCGCTGGGGTCAGCGCGTGCAAGAAGGGCGAGCAGTGGCAGTTGGCGCTGGCGCTGCTCAGCGAGATGCGGAAGGCGAAGTTGCAGCCCAATGTCATCTGTACTACAGTTCGGGCCGTTGCGCGTGCGAAAGGGGCGAGAAGGTCGCGAGCTGCCCCCGAGCGCCCGGAGCGCCCCGCCGCTCTCGGACGGCTCCAGAGAGCCCCCAGGGGGCTCCAAGACGGCCCCAGGCAGCCCCACTACAGCTCCGAGACGCTCAGGATAGCGGGAGGACGTCCCCGGAGAACCCGATCAAAGCCCCACGACAGCCCAAGACGGCCCGACGACGCGCCACATGCCTCCGAAGACGGCCCAACCAAGCCTCGATGACGGTCCTCCGAGGCCACAAATAATCGATGTTCGTGATTCTTTTGAATGTTTTCCCCGTTCTCGCCATTTCGGGCCACGCACGGCCCTAGACGGCTCCAAGGCCATCCCAGATCGGTTCAAAACGGTCCAGGAAGCCCCGCCAAGTGCCCCAAGACGGCCACAGAGGGCCCGAAGACTGCACAGGAGATGCCCAGACAGGCTCATAGAGCCCCTGGTGGCCCCCTAGACAGCCCCAAGAGGGTCATCGGAGCTGCCCAAAAGGCACCAAAGCGAGCTCCAAGACGGCCCGAGACTCCCTACATAGCCCCAGGACGGCCCAAGAGGCCTCCGACACAGCGCAAGAAAGCCCCGAAATGGGTCAAGAGGGCCACTGGGGGCTCCGGAGAGACCCCGAAGAGGGCTCGAAGAGGGGCCGAAGGGAGCACAGTAGGCCAAGAACCCTCCAAGGACCACCCCCACATGCCCTAGAGTCTCCCAAGAGAGTCCGAAGGTTCCCAAGGCGCTCCCAAGGAGGGTGCATCGAGCCACGCCACCCTGTCGCCGTCTCTCGAACCCCAAACGCCCCCAAGAAAGCCCCATACCCCCAAGGCAGGCCCCAGAGCACTCCGAGATGCCCCAGAGCATCCCAAGAAACTCCAATAGTCCCCACAGAGCTCCCAAGAGCCGTCCCAGGGCCACTACGAGATGCCCCAGATTCGCCCACAAGACTCCAACGCTTGCCAAGAGACTCCGACAGTGCCCACGGAGCTTCCAAGAGCGGTCCCAGGAACAGACTTCCATAGTTTCCACGGAGCTCCCCAGAGCGGTCCCATGACCACTCCGAGATGGCCCAGAGTCGCTCTCGAGACCTCCCCCATTACGGCCGATTATGGTTGACAGGGGGACCCCCCCCTTCCTCCTTCCCTCATCGAGGCTCCGCCCGCTCTGGGGCCTCTACTCCGTCTTTTACGGGTGACAGGGGGGACTTGCAGACATTTCGGTTGCTCCCTGGACCACTCCGAGATGACGCAGATACCCCCCAGGATATTCGAAAACAGCCTCCAGCCCCGGCCCCCAGAGACTGCAGCAAACCCTGCAGCGAACTTAGCCTGAGGGGTGACATGGGGGACCTTCTGATCAACAGCATCCTCACAGCACGCGCGCACAAGAAGTTGCCCAGGCTGTCCCCCAGAAGAGCTCAGGCTCTAGGGGACAGCCCAGGAACAGCCCCAGAGGCCTTCAAGACGCCCCAGACAGGCTCGCAGGAGGGCCCAACATGCTTCCGACACGGCCCCAGGGACGCCCGAGCTGTTCACCCACGGTTTGCCAGTCCCAGGTTCAGCACGCCGTGGATTTATTCCACTGGTTCACACCAATTTATACTATACGGCCAGAGGAAGCGCGTGCCGGAAGGAAATTAGATCAAATGGCAGTAGAGTCCTCCGACGGGCCCGGCGCGCTCTCGGGCGGCCCTGGGGCGCTCCGCGACGGCCTCGGGCGGCCCCAGGGCGCTCCGCGACGGCCTTGGAGGGCCTCCCCACGGAGGCTCGAGGGCCCCGAGACGGCCCCGAGACGGTCCAAGAGGGCCTGCGAGACGGCCCACGAGCGCTCGAGGGCGCTCAAGATAATTAGCCTCCAGACGGCCCAAGAGGCCCCCAAAAACGCTCCAACCGGGCTCCCCGAGAGAGCTCACACAAGCAAAAATCGTCCCCAAACCAAGGGAAAACGTACATGTTCGCAACTCCGTTGCTTTCCGTATTCGAAGCGTCCACGACACCATACGGGCCCCCAAGATCGGCCTCAGACGTTTCAGGAGGCCCCCATGAGGCTCCCCAGACGGCCCCCGACGGCCCCCGGACGGCTCCTGTGGCGCCCATCACAGCCCAAGAAGCAGTCAAGACAGCCCCAAGAGCGGCCATAGATGGCCCAAGAGGGCCCTCCAGACGGTCCCAAAACGGCCCCACAGGCGCCCAAGACGGCCCCAAGATGCACCCACGAGGCCCCCAACACCTTTCAAGTGGGTTCCCAGAAGACGCCCGAGAGAGCCCGCACGAGCAAAAATCCTCCCAAACCTCCTTAGGGAAAACGTGGATGTTCGCAGCTCCCGCGCTTTTCGTTTTGGAAGCGTCCACGACACCATACGGGCCCCCAAGATCGGCCCAAGACGTCTCAGGAGGCCCCCATGAGGCTCCCCGGACGGCCCCCGGACGGCTCCTGCGGCGCCCATCACAGCCAAAGAAGCAGTCAAGACAGCCCCAAGAGAGGAAACAGATGGCACAAGAAGGGTTCCAGACGGTCATAGAACGGCCACCCACGACGGCCCAAGAAGACCCCAAGAGGACCCCCAGAAGGCCGCCAGACGGCCCAAGAGGGCCCCAAAAGGCCCCCAGGAGGCCGAAGAGAAACCCCGAGAGGCCCCCAAACAGTTCCCAAGGAGAACGCAGCGCCTGCCATCAGGCTTCGGCAAGGCAAGCAGAAAAAGTCACCAGAGCGCTCGGAGGGCCTCCCCACGGAGGCTCGATGGCCCCAGACGGCCCCAAGACGGTTCAGAGAGAGCGCCCCGAAGGTCCGAGCGGACCCCTTGCGAGCCCCAGGGCAGCCCAAGAGTGCCCGACGACAGGCGAGAAGCTTCCCAAGACGGCCCAGGAGACTCCCCGTCAAGACCCGAGGCGGCCAAAACATGGATTTTCCGTTGTTGCCTGAAGGATTCCCAGGCTCTTGCCATCTAATCCCTCGGACGGCCCAACACGGCTCCAGGACCCTGCGAGGTCGTTCCAACACGGTCCATGAGGCCTTCAAGAGAACCCCAAGACGCTCCAAGAGTGCCCCGAGACGGTCCCACGATGGTCCAGGACGGCCCCGCGATGGCCCAGGAGGCACCTAAGACGGCCCAAGAGGCACCCAAGACGGCCCCAGAAGCGGCCCACGACGGCCCAAGAGGCGCCTACGCCGGCCTCCGAAGGCCCCAACACGGCCCAGAGACACCCAAGACGCCCGAACAAAACCCCCCGCAGCCCCCAAACGCCCACAAGACGCCGCTGGACCCCTTCCCGCGGACCGTTCTCTCCTCCCGGCCTGCTTGGCTCACGGTGTCCGGGGGCCTTGCGAGGGCCCCCAGGGGTTGAACATTACCAAACATGTGTTCTCGGGCCTCCAAGGTGCGGTCAGGGTAGATGGGGTCGGAGGATTGAGCCGCATCGCCGATGCATCGTCGATGCGGCTCGATTTGGAGCCTGAGTTCCTCACGCAGACCTCGGCGAAGCACCGCCGACGTCGCCGCTGCATCGCCGATGCATGTGGGAGGCCTCTCATGTTCCGCCTCGATTCTTTCACGACGCGAGGGGGCGTCTCCCGCCCGCCCGCCATTACGGAGCGATGTGGGAGGCGAGCGCAGCGCAAATCACTTGCCACTTCGTGGCAGCTTACCATGGACGAAGTCCACGGGTCAGCCCTAGTCTCTACTACAATGCAGGGACCCGCGCGTGCGGGAAGGGTCCCTGTCATGATCGACTTAAAATACCCCACAACGGCTCCGGGGACGCCCCAGAGGCGCTCGCGCGGCCCAAGAGGCGCCCAGGACGGCCCCTGACACCCCCAAAACGGCCCAAGAGCGCTCCAAGAGAGCTCAAGACCGCCGAAAACGGCCCCGACAAGGCCCAGGAGGCCTCCACGACGGCCCCATAGACGCCCAAGAGGCGTCCCAGGATGGCCCCCACAGGCCCAAATCATTGTTTTTCCAAACAAAAGCGTCAAGTTTTAGCATACACTGCTTGTCGGGTATATGGCGCAGAAGATGGGACAAGAGGTCCCCACGACCGCCCCAAGACGGCCCAAGAGGCCCCCCAGAGGCACGAAAACCGGCCCGAGAGAGCGTCAAGAGACCCAAGAGGCGCCCAACACGGCCCCCAGGCGGCCCCAAGAGGCTCCCAGGAGGCGCCCAGGACGGCCCCAGACACCCCCAAAACGGCCCAAGAGCGCTCCAAGAGAGCCCAAGACCGCCGAAAACAAACCCAAGACGGCCCAGGAGGCCTCCACGACGGCCCCAGAGACGCCCAAGAGGCGTCCAAGGATGGCCCCAAGAGCATGAAGGGATCGGCTCGGTTCGGTTCGGTCCGGTTCTGCAGCCGGGTCGGTTTTGCTTGGCCGGTTCGGTTTGGCATCGGTCCGGTTTCGGCCGGTTCGGCTTGGGCCTGCCGCCGGTTCGGTTCGGTTCCGGTTTTCGCGCGGTTGGGTCCGACCGGTTCGGTTCGGTTCGAGTGGCCGCTCCGGTTCGGTTCGGCCCGACTGGTCAGGTGCGACGTTGGGCGCCCCGTCTGCGTAAGCGACGACCCAGTTTGAAAAAAAGGGAGGGAGGAGGAGGAGGAGGAGGAGGAGGAGGAGGAGGAGGAGGAGGCGGAGGCGGAGGCGGAGGAGGGAGGAGGAGGACGACGAGGAGGAGAAGGAGGAGGAGGAGGAGAAGAAACGTGGAGGCGTGGAGGCGCGAGGCCCTCCAGCGACGTGCCCCGACGGGGGTCGCAGCCCCGAGGGGGGTCGCAGCCCCGAGGGGGGTCGCAGCCCCGAGGGGGGTCGCGCCCGCGAGGGGGGTCGCGCCCGCCAGGGGGGTCGCACCCGCCAGGGGGTCGCAGCCCGCCAGGGGGGTTGCACCCGCCAGGGGGGTCGCGCCCGCCAGGGGGGTTGCAGCCCGCCAGGGGGGGTGCACCCGCCAGGGGGGTCGCAGCCCGCCAGGGGGGTCGCGCCCGCCAGGGGGGTCGCGCCCGCCAGGGGGGTCGCAGCCCGCCAGGGGGTTTGCGCCCGCCGAAGAGTTGCGCCCGCCAGGGGGGTTGCACCCGCCAGGGGGGTTGCACCCGCCAGGGGGGTTGCACCCGCCAGGGTGGTCGCGCCCGCCAGGGGGGTGCACCCGCCAGGGGGTTGCACCCGCCAGGGGGGTCGCAGCCCGCCAGGGTCGCAGCCCGCCAGGGGGGTCGCACCCGCCAGGGGGGTCGCAGCCCGCCAGGGGGGTCGCGCAGGGGGGTCGCGCCCGCCAGGGGGGTCGCGCCGCGGGGGGTCGCGCCCGCCAGGGGGGTTCGCAGCCCGCCAGGGGGGTTGCACCCGCCAGGGGGGTTGCCCCGCCAGGGGGGTTGCGCCCGCCAGGGGGTTGCGCCCGCCAGGGGGCACCCGCCAGGGGTCGCAGCCCGCCAGGGGGTTCGCGCCCGCAGGGAGGTCGCCGCCCGCCAGGGGGGTTGCGCGCAGCCCGCCAGGGAGGTCGCAGCCCGCCAGGGGGGTTGCAGCCCGCCAGGGGGGTTGTTGCGCCCGCCAGGGGGGTTGCACCCGCCAGGGGGGTTGCACCCGCCAGGGGATTGCGCCCGCCAGGGGGGTCGCGCCCGCCAGGGGGGTCGCGCCCGCCAGGGGGGTCGCAGCCCGCCAGGGGGGTTGCACCGCGCCAGGGGGGGCACCCGCCAGGAGGGGGGCACCCGCCAGGGGGGCTTGCACCCGCGAGGGGGGTCGCACCCGCCAGGGGGGTTGCGCCCGCCAGGGGGGTTGCACCCGCCAGGGGGGTCGCACCCGCCAGGGGGGTTGCACCCGCCAGGGGGGTTGCACCCGCCAGGGGGGTTGCGCCCGCCAGGGGGGTTGCACCCGCCAGGGGGGTCGCGCCCGCCAGGGGGGTTGCACCCGCCAGGGGGGTTGCGCCCGCCAGGGGGGTTGCACCCGCCAGGGGGGTTGCGCCCGCCAGGGGGGTTGCACCCGCCAGGGGGGTTGCACCCGCCAGGGGGGTTGCGCCCGCCAGGGGGGTTGCACCCGCCAGGGGGGTTGCACCCGCCAGGGGGGTTGCGCCCGCCAGGGGGGTTGCACCCGCCACCCGCCAGGGGGGTTGCGCCCGCCAGGGGGGCACCCGCCAGGGGGGTTGCGCCCCGCCAGGGGGGTTGCACCCCAGGGGGGGGCGCAGGGGGGTCGCGCCCGCCAGGGGGGTCGCGCACCCGCGGGGGGTTTTTGCCACCCGCCAGGCAGCCAGGGGGTTTGCGCCCGCCAGGGGTTGCACCCGCCACCCGGGGTTGCGCGCCAGGGGGGTTGCCGCCAGGGGGTTGCGCCAAGGGGGGTTGCGCCCGCCAGGGGGGTTGCACCCGCCAGGGGGGTGGCGCCCGCCAGGGGGGTTGCACCCGCCAGGGGGGTTGCGCCCGCCAGGGGGGTTGCGCCCGCCAGGGGGGTTGCACCCGCCAGGGGGGTTGCACCCGCCAGGGGGTTGCGCCCGCCAGGGGGGTTGCGCCCGCCAGGGGGGTTGCGCCCGCCAGGGGGGTTGCGCCCGCCAGGGGGGTTGCACCCGCCAGGGGGGTTGCGCCCGCCAGGGGGGTTGCACCCGCCAGGGGGGTTGCGCCCGCCAGGGGGGTTGCGCCCGCCAGGGGGGTTGCACCCGCCAGGGGGGTTGCACCCGCCAGGGGGGTTGCGCCCGCCAGGGGGGTTGCACCCGCCAGGGGGCCAGGGGGGTTGCGCCCGCCAGGGGGGTTGCACCCGCCAGGGGGGCGCCCGCCAGGGGGGTTGCGCCCGCCAGGGGGGTTGCACCCGCCAGGGGGGTTGCGCCCGCCAGGGGGGTTGCGCCCGCCAGGGGGGTTGCACCCGCGAGGGGGGTCGCGCCCGCCAGGGGAGTCGCACCCGCGAGGGGGGTCGCACCCGCGAGGGGGGTCGCACCCGCCAGGGGGGTCACAGCCCGCGAGGGGGGTCGCGCCCGCCAGGGGGGTCGCAGCCCGCCAGGGGGGTCGCAGCCCGCCAGAGGGGTTCGGTTCGGTTCCCGTCGGTTCGGTTCAGGGGCCGCCCGGTTCCGGTTCGATTCCGGTTCTGGTTTGGTTCGGTCCTCGCCGGTTCGGTTCTGAATGAATTCGGTTCGGTCCGGTTCGGTTTTCTACGTTCCTGGTTTTGGACCGGTTCGGTCCGGTTCGGTCACGGTTCTCGGTTCTCGGTTCGGTGCGGTCCCTTCATGCAAGAGGCTAAACTCATTGTTTTCCAGAAGAAAAACGTTCAATTTTAGCATGCGCTGCTTGTCGGGAATATGGCGCAGAAGCTGGTTCAAGGTCTCCACGACCGCCCCAAGACGGCCCAAGAGGCCCCCAAGACGCACGAAAACTGGCCCGAGAGGGCGTCAAGAGAGCCCAAGAGGCGCCCAAAACGGCCCCAGGCCGACACCAAGAGGCTCCCAGGACGGCCCAAGGTATCCCCAAGACGCTCCAAGAGCGCTCCACGACAAGCCAAGACTGCCTTTTGCGGCGCCAAGACGGCCCAAGACGCCTCTACGACGGCCCAAGAGACGCCGAAGAGGCTTCCCAGGAGGGCCCCAGGAGGCCACAATTATCGCTTTCCCGACGGAAACCGTACACATGTCAGCATTTCCGGCTTTCCGGGTTTCATGGCGTAGACGACGGCCCAAGAGGCCCCCAACACCGCCCCAAGACGGACCAGGAGGCTCCCACGGGGGATCCACACCGGCCCGACGGAGCGTCAAGGCATGTAGCCGAAGAGCCGCCCAAGACGGCCGGCAGGGCAGCAATACGGCCCCCAGAGCTTCCCAACACGGCCCAAGGTTCTCCCAAGACGGCCCCCAGAGCGCTCCAAGAGGTGTGCTTCCACTAACACCGCCTCCACCACCGCGTTCCTGCCTTCAGGCCTGCTTGCCTGCATCCCTCGCCCACCTCCCCCTCCAGCGTCCACCTCCTCCATCCACGCCGTCCCCTCCAACCTCCCCTCACCCGCGAGGCCCCAGAGACGCTCCACTTCCACGTCCGCGTGGCCACGCCATGGCGGGCAAATTCCGCGGCCGGAAGGCCACGGGTCAGCCCTAGTCTCCTACAGCGCTGGAATCAGCGCGTGCGAGAAGGGCGAGCAGTGGCAGTCGGCGCTGGCGCTGCTCAGCGAGATGCGGGAGGCGAAGCTGGAGCCCAATGTCATCTCTCCTACAATGCAGCGACCTTTGCGTATGAGAAGGTTTCTGTCCCGAACGCCTCCCCGGGCCCTCCTGGGCGCCCTGCGAGTCCCCAGGGGCTCCGAGATGGCTCCGGGGGGTCCCAAAGATGTCTTAGGACAGCCTCAAGACGGCTCAGATACACTCAAAAGGGCGCCCGGACGCCCCAAGAGAGCCCCAAGCCAGCCCCAGGATGGCCCCAGATGCTTCCAAGGCAGGCCAGGAGGCTCCCGAGATGACCCAGGAGGACCCAGGAGAGCCCCCCGAGGCAAACATCGTTGCCTTCCCCTCGGGAAGTTGTCTTTTTCATGTGTCCCCTCTGTCCGTTTGCACAGTCTCCAGGACGGCTGTACAGGCCCCCAAGATCGCCCAAGACGCCCCCATCAGGGCCCCAGAACGGCCCCAGACGGCGCCGGGACAGCTCCAGAGGCGCCCGAAACGGCCCAAGTGGCACCCAAGACAGCCCCACGAGCGCCCAATAATGGCCCAAGATGGCCTGAAAGGCGTCCCAGACGGCTCCACATCGCCCCAAGACGGCCCAAGAGGCACTCCAGACAGCCCAAGAGGGCCCCGAGATATGCCCAGCAGGACGAAAAGAGGCCCCAACACGGCCCCCAAGAGGCCTTGGATGTTTCTCTCTTGGGGAGCGTCGACGATTGACGATCGAAGGTCGACTGGATGAAGGATCGAGAAGAAGAGGAAGAGGAGGAGGAGGAGGAGGAGGACTCCCAAAATGGCCCCAAAGCTGATAGAAGCCACCGAGATGTCCCGTGCATGACCTGAAAAAGGCCTTAATATGAGCCACAGAGATGTCCCGAGCATGCCCCCAAAAAGACACCAAGAGTGTCCACACACCCCGAGCCAGCTTCCAACGGACAGCCCAAGTAAAACAAATGGACGATTACTCCAGCGTCCTATCAGTGATCTTCCCGTGCACCGGGTGCCTGAGCAGCCCCAGTGCGGAGTCCATCCGCACCATGGCGGCCAGATTCCGCGGTCGGAAGGCCGCGGGTCAGCCTTAGTCTTTTCTCTTCTACTTTGCAGCGTGCGAGAAGGGTCTCCGTCTTGACCGTCGATTCCGACCCCATAACAGCTCAGGGGGCCCCAAAAACGGCTTCAGACGGCCGGCCTCGGGACGGCTCCAGGAGGCTCGAGGGGCTGCCAAGACGGCCTCAGAGCACCCTATGGAGCCCTAAGAAAGCACCAGAGGCCCCCAAGGCAGGCAAAGAGGCTCCCAAGACAGCCCAGGATGGCCTCCAGGAAACCCCACGAGGCCAAAATCGTTCCATTTCCATTGGGAAGCGCACATTTTCATTATGTTCCGTTTTTTCGTCCTGACAGCGTCCAAGACGGCTATACAAGCCCCCTAGTTCGCACCAAGACTCGCCCAGAGACCCTCAGGAGGGCCCCGAAACGGCCCCACACGGCCCCGGGACAGCTCCAGAGGCGCCAGAGACGGCCCAAGAAGCACTCAAGACAGCCCCAAGAGCAGCCAATAATGACCCAAAACAGCCCCAATACGGCCCCACCGCCTCGTCTCCAAAACGGCTGTACAGGCCCCCACCGCTCCGTCTCCAAGTTTTCCGTCTGCACAGTCTCCAGGACGCGTGTGCAGGCCCCCAAATCGCCCCAAGACGCCACGCCCCCAGACGCGCCCATGAGGGGCCCAAAGCGGGCCGAGACGGCCCCGGGACGGCTCCAGAGGCGCCCGAGACGGCCCAAGAAGCACCCAAGACAGCCCCAAGAGCGCCCAATAACGGCCCCAGACGGCCCCAAGATGGCCTGAGAGGCGCCCCAGACGGCTCCACATCGCCCCAAGACGGCCCAAGAGGCACTCCAGACGGCCCAAGACGGCCCCGAGAGACCCCCAGGAGAACGAAAAGAGACCCCGAAACGGTCTCCAAGAGGCCTTGGATGCTTCCCTCTTGGGGAGCGTCGAGCTTCTAGCGCTGCCTTGGGGGCCTCTTGGACCCGCTGTGAGCCATCTCTGAGCCTTTTAGGGACGTCGTGGAGCGGTGCGCTCGAAAGGTCTATTCGTGTCCTCGCACTGGGGCCCGTCTTAGGGAGTTCGTGGGGCCCTCTTGGGCCGTCTGGGAAGTCTCTTGGCCCGTCCTGGAGACCTTTTCGGACCTTCCCGACACCCTCTAGCGGGCTTCAGGCAGCGCCCACCGGCCCCATTCTACCAGATAAGAGTATATCATTCGGCCCCCAGCGAAGAGAGGAGAAAATTATCAGGGCGACCCGCCCCGCAGAAGCTATGAACACAGATTGCGGCGTGAGAAACAGCTCCTGTCCACACCATGTCGTTCCTCAATGGGTGTGTTTCCGTTGACATCGCCTTCACCGCTTTCCTGCCTTCAGGTCTGCTTGCTTGCATCCCTCGCCCACCTCCCCCTCCAGCGGCCACCTCCTCCATCCACGCCGTCCGCTCCAACCTCCCCTCACCCGCGAGGCCCCGGAGACGCCCCACTTCCACGTACACGCTATGGCGGGCAGATTCCGCGGCCGGAAGGCCGCGAGTCAGCCCTAGTCTCTACTACATTGCAGGGCCCTGCGCGTGCGAAAAGTAAACAATTCGGACCACAATGGCGTAGCGGGCGCCCCGGCGGCCCCTGCGAGCCCCAGCAGGCCCCGGCGCGCTCCGAGACGCCCCAAGATGGCCCAAGAGCGCTCCGAGGCGTCCCTGGAGGCCCCCACAAGGGCCCCAAGACGGCCCAAGACGGCCCAAGAGGGCTTCCGATGGCCCCAGAGGCCTCCCAAGGCGCTCCACGTGGGCGCCAAGATGAGTCCCAAGAGAGCCCGAATCAGGAAAAATTATCCCAATCTTTAGAAAACGCGCGGCGATCGGACGCGTTTTCTAAAGATTGGCCAAGACGCGCTTTGCATCCGACACGCGCCCAAGCCGGCCATACATGCCCCCAAGATCGCCCCAACACGCCTCTAGAAGCCCCCATGACGGCCCGAAGACGGCCCCAGGACGGCTCCTCCGGCGCCCTGGGCGGCCCAAGAGACGGCCAAGACAGCGCCAAGAGCGGTCACAGACGGCCCAAGACGGCCCCGAGACGGCCCCCGAGGCGCCCGAGACGGCCCCAGAGGGCCCCAAGACGGCCCCAGAGTCGCCCAAGACGACCCCAAACGGCCCCAAGACGGCTCAACAGGCACCCAAGACAGCCCAAAGAGGCCCCAGGAGGACCCCAGACGGTCCCCAAGAGGCCCGAACATGACGGCCGAAGAACCACCCAAGACAGCTCTTTCAGCAGTCAAAGACGGCACAAGACGGCTTCGAAACGATCCAGAACGGCCCCAAGCGTCCGCCATGACAGTTCGGAAGGGCGGCCCAGGCCGCCGCCGTTCTTCCGAGAACCATTTGCAGAAAGATGCCGTGGACGAGGTCCACGGGTCAGCCGTCGTCTCTACTACATTGCAGGGCCCAGTGCGTGCCAGAATGGCGCAGGCCCCAATGCACCGAAACCGCCCCGGGCTGGCCCCGGGCCGCCCAGGGCCGCCCAGGCAGGCTCCAGGACATGTCGAGAGGGCCCCCAGAAGCCCCCAAGACGGCCCCGGAGAGCCCCGGCACGCTTAAAGATGGGCCCAAGACGCCCGAGATTCGCCCCAGACGGCCCAAGAGGCGTCCAAGACGCCCGAAGAGGCCTCCCAAGAGGCCTCCCAAGAGGGCCCCGAGCGACAGAAATCGTCGATTTCTATTGTGTTTTTCGATGTTTTCGGCCTCCTCGCCTCTTCGGCTTCCCGACGCTCCAAGACGGCCCAAGAAGTCCCCCCGACCGCTCCAAGACGGCCGAAGAGGACCCCAAGAGAGCCCCAAGACGGGCCAGGAGGGCCCCAAGACGGTCCCAAGACGCCCCAGGACGGCCCCAGGACGGCCCAGGAGGCGCCCAGACGGCCCAAGAGGCACCCAAGACGGCCCCAGGAGCGGCCCAAGACGGCCCAAGACAGCCCAAGAGGCGCCGAGGCGGGCCTCAGACGGCCCCAAGACGGCCCAAGAGGCACCCAAGACGGCCCGCGAGGGCCTTAAGAGCCCCCCCGGCAGGCCCAAAAGAAGGCCGAAGAGGCTCCGAAACGGCCCCACGAAGCCTTCAGTGGCTTCAGAATTCCCTCCAGGAGCGGGGGAGCGGACGAGAGGCGACAGGCATATCGCAGGCAAAAACGCCCCAAGAGATCCCCAAACGGCCCCCACGAAGCCCTAAGTGGCCTCAGAATTGCTTCCAGGAGGGGGGGAGCGGACGAGAGGCGACCGGCATATCGAAGGCACAAAAGAACAATGTTGGACGCTCCGAGGGCCTTCGATGTTTCTCTGTTGGGGAGAGTCGTCGTAGGATCGACGATTGCCTTTCGGCCCTGCAGCCGCACCGCCCCGCGCTTGCCCAGAGACCCCTCGCCACGTCGAGCTGATGTCGTGGACGGAGTCCACAGGTCTGCCCTAGTCAGCTACAACGCTGGGATCAGCGCGTGCGGGAAGGGCGAGTGGCAGCCGGCCCTGGCGCTGCTGACCGACATGCGGGAGGCGATGCTGGAGCCTGACGTCATATCTGTGCAGCAGTAACTTGAGCTCAGCACTGCCAGAAGGACACGTTGCTCACGCGCCCGCCAGGCCCGCAGCGGCTGGCGCCTCCGCGGCCCCGCTCGCAGAGCGACGCCACCCTGGCCCAGGAGAGCCCCGCGAGTGCCACGAAAGGGCCCAGAGCGCTCCTCTGCAGCGCGCGAGGCCTTCCAAGATCCACCCGGCTTCCAAATGGCATCCGAGAGGGCCACGAGGACATACAAGTATCGATCGTTCCCAGGTGTGTGTATGTGTGTGTGTGTGTGTGTTGATACTTCCTCTTACGATCGCTTCTGCGGCCGAATGACGCACAACCCACCCCGAAAAGCCTCCCAAATCGTCCGGAGGGCGCCCAGGGGGCTCCCAAGGGAGCCCCTACGACGGCCTGCAGGGAAACTCAAGACGGCTCCGATGACTCCCAAGACGGCCGAACAGCCTCCCAAGACGGCCCTCCGGGAGGGAGGCCCAACAGGGCCAGCTCTGGAGCGCTCTCCCCCCGTCCCGCCCCTCCCACGGCCAGCAAGCTCCCAAGAAGCCCCCCGGCGGCTCCAAGACGGCATCCGAGGGAAACCTCCAGCAGCTCCCCAGAAGCGGCTCTGGCATGCTCCTACTCCTACAGTCGGGGCGCTGAAGAAGGAACCCTTTTCGTTGGGGAGGGGCTCGGTGTTCCTTGATTGGTTTACAGTTTGCCTCAGGTGTTCCTGAGGTTTCCCACGGGAAATCGAAGTTCAACTTCTGGGAAAAGGGGCCTCGTTCCTTATCCTTAGTTCAACACCCAGACTGTACAAGGCTTCAGTGCACTAAAGCAAGTGATGCCCCACGGGCTCCACGAAGGCCTCCAGCAGCTCCCACCGACCAGCTCCGATAGGCTCTCGGAAAGCACCAGTTCATGGGAACAGAGCCATCTGCCGCACATTTTGTGACACCTCTCGCGCGGGGAGGGAGGCAGAAAATAGTTATCCCCGTCGTCACTCTCCTCCGTCAGACGGGCTCCTGCCCGCGGAGTCGGAACCAGACGATTTCCTGGAGGGGGAAGAGGAGGAGGAGGGGGAGGAGGAGGAGGAGGAGGAGGAGGAGGAGGAGGAGGAGGAGGAGGAGGAGGAGGAGGGGGAGGAGGAGGAGGAGGAGGAGGAGGAGGAAGAGCAGCAGGAGCAGCAGGAGCCGAAGGACGAGGACAGGCAAAACACGACGAGGAGGAAAACGAGGATGACGAGGAGGAGGAGGAGGCGGAGGAGGAGGAGGAGGAGGAACCCAGTTCAGGACAGGTTTGTATATGGCCCCCTGCAGCGGGCTTCAGAAGATTGCAAGGAAAGCGGATGCGTCGCACCGCTTGTGGCTTGGGATGTTGGGGATCGTGTGGTGCTCCAGGTGTGGCGCTGTCGGCACGGCTCGATCGCGCAACCTTTCCACCCCATGCCCAGGCTTAGAGGCCTGGAAATTGGCACCAACACCAATACAGGGGTTTGCCTCCACAGGGGGAAGATGATCCTCGATTTCGGTGTTGGTGGTAATATTCTGGTCACATTGGAAACCAGAGGTGTCATGCGACATGCAGCCTACGCAATCGAGGAACCGCTCAGAGTCTGGCCGAATTCAAGGCTGGCACCTATCCCACCGACGATAAGAGGTTCGGTCGGGGCTGGATGGTGCCGGCAGAGCAGCTGCCCAGGCAGCTGCCCCCAGCCCTTGCTTTCCTCCCTCCTCCCCCTCTCTGCGCATCGCGTGGCCCCTGGGAGCTGGACGGCTGCGCTCAGGGAACCAAGGAGGAGGAGGAGGAGGAGGAGGAGGAGGAGGAGGCGGAGGAGGAGGCGGAGGCGGAGGCGGAGGCGGATGACGAGGACGAGCCAAGCACGAGGCGGCAGAAAGGGCGGAGGAGGAGGAGGAGGAGGAGGAGGAGGAGGAGGAGGAGGAGGAGGAGGAAGAGGAGCTGCTGCTCCATGCCCCTGGACGCCGTCTGAATCATGTTGCAAACAGGGCATCCTGAAGCAGTGAGCAGCAGCCAAGGCCCTCTGACCATTGGTACTCGTGGACGGTAGTCCACGGGTGAGCCCTAGTCAGCTACAGCGGTGGGACCAGCGCGTGCGGAAAGGGCAAGCAGTGGCAGAGGGCGCTGGAGCTGCTGGACGAGATGTGGGAGGCGGAGCTGGAGCCCAACGTAATTATGGTCCGAGACGCCCCCAGACGGTCCACGAGGTCGCCAATATGGCTTTCACACAGCCCCACAGTGCAAGAAGACGGCCCAAGAGGCTCCAAGAGGTCTCCCAGCAGGGCCCCGAGAGGCCAAAATCATTGGTTCCCTATCGGTTTCTGAAGGGTTTCAGCGTTCTCGCCTTTTCGGAGTCTCCACGCTCCAAGCTGGCCACCAAGATCGTGCCAAGATGGCCCAAGAGGCCCCCAAGAGAGCTTCCGAACAGCCCAAGAGGCAAGAGGGCCTCAAGACGGCCAACGAGGACCCCAAGACGACCCCAAGAGGGCCCCACGAGGGTGAACTCGAACTGACATTTCGCGCCCTCCGCTCCAGGATGATCTTAGAAACCGCCAGCTGGCCCCCCAGAGGGGCCCCACAGTGCCAGAAATCGGCCCATGAGGGCTCGAAGAGGCCCCCGAGAAGTGCCCCAAGAGGCAGCAAACACAGCATGAATTGATTGCAGATGTTTGAAGGCTTTCAGCGTTCTCGACTTTCTGGGGTCTCGACGCTCCGAGCCAGCCCCAGGGCACCCAAGATCGCGCCAAGATGACCCAGGAGGCCACGCAGGGAGCTCCCAGACAGCCTCAGAGGGCCCCAAGACGGCCCAAGAGGACTCCAAGACGGCCCAAGACGACCCCTAGAGGGTCCCTCGAGAGGGGGACTTGAACTGACACTTCGCGCCCTCCGCTCCAGGATGATCCCAGAAACCACGAGCTGGCCCCCAAGAGGACCCCCAGACGCTCCAGAAGGCCCCACAGTGCCGGAAGACGGCCTAAGAGGGCTCCAAGAGGCCCCCAATAAGGGCCTCCGAGATGCCAAAATCATGGGTTCCTCTTCGGTGTTTGAAGGGTTTCAGCGTCCTCGCCTGTTCGGTGCCTCTGCGCTCCAAGCCAGCCCCTGCAGCCCAAGAGGGCCCAAGAAGCCACGGCAGCGCTTGATGGAGCTCTCGTGGAACTTGCAGGGATGCCTTCTGACCGTCTCGGCCCCATCTCGTAGGAAGCCGATCCGAGAGCAGGCGCAATCAAGTAACCGCATCTTTGGCGACCGCCACATCACCTTTTTCGCGTCTCTTTTTGCGGCGTTCCTCCTCTCGCGACCCCGATGGCCCTCTCAGCCCCCGAGGCGTCGCGCTTGGGTGTGCTCATGTTGTCGCTCCTTTTTCTTTTCCTCCTTAGCCTGTTTGGCCCAGATGTTTGTTCGCCTAGGCGAGCAATGGCTCCCGCGCTCGCTGCGACGCAGGACAGTGCGCCCCGCCAGGTTCCCAGGTTCCGTCCGACTCCGACGACTAGCAAGCGATCGGCATTGTCTCTTCGCCGTCGCCCCAGTGCTCAGGCCCCCAGACGAACGCCTCGGTGGCCAGCGTCGTTCCAGGCGAGGGCCGCTGCACTTGCCAGCCGGGTGCGTCGCAGCGGAAGGCTGCAGCGCCAGCGCAGCCGCGGCTTGGAGCTTATGAAGTCTGCGTGGTTACGTCATGCGCGCGAGCGGACTACCCCAAGCAGTGGCGACCAACAAGAAATCTCCTGGCTCGAGGCTATTCCCGGATGGACCTCGGACGCATGCGCCGACGCTTTGGCCAATGCTCTGGCAGGCCTGCGACAACGGCTTGCGACACATTCTTGGGAACACCCGTCCCCGACCAGTTCCGACGCCAGCGAGAAACGCTTAGGACTGTTTGCCAAACATGTTCGTGCCCGCGCTCGGGCAGGAGCGGGTCGCAACGCTGATATTGCCGCAGCGCGCTTGGCCGAGTTGCGTGCTCTTCCTGGTTTGGCCGAGTCGCGTGCTCTTCCTGGTTGGACGTCGCTGTCCCCGAGCTGGCTGGCAGGCCTCGCCCGCGCGCAAGCATGGCATCGCGACGCCGGCCGATGGCCATCCCGTGCCAGGGACGCCCATGAGGAGCGTTTTTGCGCCATGTGGGTCAACGTTGCTCGATCACACCATCGCCGTGGCGTTCTCGACCCAGAGCGCCAGGCAAAGCTTGGGGCGTGAGAGACATGGACTTGGGACGAGCGGAAAGATTCCTGGCAGGCGACGTTCGCCGCTCTCCGGGGGTGGCTGCAGAACCACAGCAGTTAGTGCTCTCGCCGCGGAGCTTCCACATCCCCCGAGGAGCTCCTATGGGCCAACCAAAAGCACATCGCTCACACAATCCCCGACGTCTTCAGGGGTTCTTGTTTCGATTGGCGGGGGTGAAGTCATCATTTTTGGCGCGCGCCTTCGTCCTTTCGCTCCCCCTTTCGCTGCGCCCGAGCGTCGCTCTAGGAACCCCCGCGTAATACCGACGGACACAAGTCATCCCAGCCCTCGACGTTTTTGTTCGGTTGAGGGGGCGGGGTACGTGCTGTCACCTGCCGAACTCTTCGGCCCTTCCCCTTGTCGTGTTTGCTTCGCCCCAGCGCCACCCGAGGGACCTCTGCGAGCTGGCGAGGGGCGCGGGATGGCCCCGGAGGCCCCGGGAAACGCTCACGCGAACCCGCGACGCCCCGATGACGACCTCACTCCGCCGGAAGGCCGGCCAGGAGGCCCCAGAGGACGGACTGGAATGGCCTGGCCGCGATGCTTGCTTGCTTCAGACCGTACTGGGATTTCCAGGCTCTCGACGAACGGGCCAGCAAGGCCCCGAATCCTCCCGAATGCCAGAAGGCGCCCAGGCAGCCCAAGAGCCTCCGGCTTCTCAGAACCCCAGAGGAGTTACGATTTGCTTCCTTCGTGGACAGATGGCCCCAGGCCAGACTCAGACGGCCCCAGGACAGTTCTGGTGCTCTGAAGAGGGTGGCAGGACCAAGAGGACCCGAAGCGAGTCCCATGGCGGCCCAAGAGGGCCCGACGACTCGCCAGGAAGCGCCACAGACGGCCCACGAGGACTCCGATGACGGCCCCACGGGCTCACGGGGCCCACGGGGCCCACGGCCCCATGATGACCCCAATGTTTTTTGCATTTTTCCCCATGGCGGGCCCAGACTGGCCCTGGACGGCTCTAGGTCATATCCATATTGGCCCAAGGCGGCCGACGAGCGCACCAAGACGGCTCAAGCACAGGCCCCAGACGGACTGACAGAGCCTCAAGTGGCCCCCAAATTCAACCCCGAAAAAGCTGCCCAAGAGGGCCCGAACCAGGCTCCCCTGTCAGCCCCAAACCCTCAACATGACCCCAACACTCCCAAGAAGCCCCCGAGACGGCCCCGAAAGACACCACAATGGCCCAAGAGGGCCCAAAAAGCTGTCCAAGAGGGACCGCTACGAGATGCTCCAGATCATTCCCACAGACTCAAACCGTTTCCATTGAGCTTCCACGAGAGCCTCCAGCCCCAGCACATTTTGCCGTTTCCGGAGTCTCAGAGGCCCCACAGAGAGTCGCAGACCACTCTTAGATGCCCCAGAGCCCCCCGAGAGATTATGATAATCGCCAAGCAGTTCCCAAGAGAGCTGCTGCCGCTCTCCTTCTCCTCCGTCTGCTCGCCTCCCTTCTGCACGCCCTCTCCGGGCTCTTCCCCCCCGTGCACCCACCAGCGAGCCTCGGCCCCTCCCCTGCGGCCGGCCAGGGACGACGGGGGGGACTTCCACGGAAACCACCTCTGTGAGCTTCCACTCCCCTCTCTCCGATGCCCCTCCCCTTCTCCTTCCTCGTCTCGCCTTCTGCTCGCCTCCCTTCTGCTCGCCTGCCTTCTGCTCGCCCTGCTGTTGCCTTCCTTCTGCTTCTTCTTCTTCTGCTCGCCTTCCTTCTGCTCGCCCTCCCCTGCTCTCTGCTTTCCCCCCCCCCATACGCCCGCAGGCCTCCGCCCCTCCCTGAAGCCCGTCAGGGGGTGACGGGGGAACCCCAAAGAGAGAGCACCAGATCCCACAGAAGGTCCCGCACCACTTCTGGATGCCTCGGGGCACCCCGAGAAATTCCGACAGCTGCCAAGGAGCTCACAAGAGAGCCTTCAGCCCCGGCATCTCTCGCCGTTTCTGGATCTCCAGTGGCCCAGCAGAAAGCCCCGAACCCAAAAACAAGGCGCCAGGAAGCCTCTCTCACTGTTCTCCTCTCTTCTTTTCTTCTGTCTCCTCCTTCTCCTTCTTCTCCTCTCCCTCCGGGTTTCTCCACACCCCTCTTTCCGGTGCTACTTTCCTCCTCCTTCTCCTTCTCCTCTTTCTCATTCCTTCACGTTCACCTCTCTTGCCCTCCTCCCTGTGCGCACCAACCCACCAAGCCTCGGCCCCCGCCCGCGGCCGACTGCAGACCGGGGGCACGTCGAGTTTGACGATCTGTGTTTCTTCTCGACTGCACGTGAGAGTGACCTTTCGCCAGAGTAACCTTTGGTGCGGGCCCATTTGAGTCTACCAATCGCCGAACGCGATGCGGTATTAGCGTCTTGCGCGCTCGTGTTTGGGCACCCTCGCGGCCCCGAATAAGCCGCCCACCAAAGGTCACTCTTACCAAGGGTCACTCTTGCGTGTAGTCGATTCTTGTGGATTGCACGTGCGAGTGACCTTTCGCCAGAGTGACCTTTGGTGCGGGCCGAATGGGGCCCCCCGATCGCTGAACGCGAAGCGGCATCAGCGGCTCGAGCGCCAAGGTTTTGCCTCCCCGCGTCCCCCGTGAAGCCGCGCATCAAAGGTCACTCTTGCCTAGAGTCACTCTTGCGTGTAGCCGCTTCATGCTTCCCGGATTCCTGAACCGTCGACATGACAGTTTCAACCGCTCCTTTGGGTATGCGGCCGCCCTTTGGGTATGCTTCTTGCCCTGGCGGCACATTGTTTCAACTGCCTAGGCGCCGAATGGCGTATAGCTTCTCGCTCGCTCCCTCGCTTGGCTTCGATCGCCAGATCTAAGCGCTTGGGGCCAGTTTTGCAGGATTCCTCGCAAAAAAAAACATTGATGTCGCCCACGACTCTGAGCCTGCTGGCGTACTGTTCCTTGGCCTCTGGCCAAGGCTTACTGGGCGTCGTCGACGCCAGTCGCGAGCGCATCCACGAGGCCGCGGTCTCATG